TATATATATATATATATATATATATATATATATATGTGTTATATGTGTTTGTTTGTTTAGTTTTACCGTTCGTTCCTCGGACTGTCACTACACCTTTAGGTGTATCTTATCAAGGCCTAGCATTCGGCAGCGGCCTCTGCGGTGTATCTATTGTTAGAGCCGGAGAGTCGATGGAAAGTGCACTTCGAGCAGTTTGCAGAGGATGTACAATCGGCAAAATATTAATTCAAAGAGATGAAGAAACTTCTGAGCCTGTTGTAAGACAACACATTATTATTATTATTATTATTATTATTATTATTATTATTATTATTATTATATTCTTATGTCTATCTTTAGTATTATTATTATTATCATATACTTATGTCTATGTTTAGTATTATTGTTATTATTATCATATGATTATGTCTATCTTTGTTATTATTATTATTATTTTATTATTGTTATTATTACTATTGTTATCTTATTATTGTTGTTTTATTATTATTGTTATTGTTTTGTTATTAGTATTTTATTATTGTTATTGTTTTACTATTGTTATTTTTGTTCGTTATTCTTCTTACTGTTATAATTTGCTTTTATTATTATTTTTATTAGTATTAACATTTATGTTTGTTTGTTTGTTTGCTAGTAGATGGATACATCATTATAAATCATATTTATCATGAAGAATATTCATATAACTATTAAACCTATATATATATATATACACAAATATATATATATATACAAATATATATATATATTAATTTGTTCGTTTTTGTTGTTTTTCAGCTCTACTACGCCAAACTCCCTGCAGATGTATCAAAGCGTACAGTCTTACTGATGGATCCGATGTGTGCAACAGGCGGCAGCGTCTGTAGAGCTGTAACAGTTTTAAAACAACACGGTGTAGAAGAAGATAAGATTGTCTTTGCTACGCTCATGGCTGCTTCACCTGGCATTGATAAAGTCTTAGGCGAATTCCCCAATATTCGAATCGTCTGCGGATCGTACGTACAAACCCTAAACCCTAAACCCTAAACCCTAAACCCTAAACCCTAAGTGTACAAACAGCGTCTTAAGGATCGTACGCACGAACCCTAAACCCTAAACCCTAAACCCTTAGTGTACAATCAGCGTCTTAAGGATCGTACGTACAAACCCTAAACCCTAAACCCTTATTTTCTATGCATCGTTGTGCATACACGTCACAAACCCTAAACATATATATATATATATATATATTAAATCATATAGCAGTAAGAATAGCAGTAAACGATAAACCCTAAACCGTAAATATCGTCCTTGGCAGCTTCACAGAGTGCTGTTGGCTGCCCTACGGTTAAGGGTTAAGGGTTTAGGGTTTAGGGTTTAGGGTTTAGGGTTTAGGGTTTAGGGTTTGAGCTGGTGGGGTGCTCTACAGGATTGAGGCTGGCCTTAACGATAGGAATTTCCTCGTTCCTGGAATCGGAGACTTCGGGGACAGGTGCTGCTGCTGCTGCTTCTGCTGCTGCTGCTGCTGCTGCTTCTGCTGCTGCTGTTTCTGCTGATATTGCTTCTGCTGTTGTTCCTTCTGCTGCTGCTTGTGCTTCTGCTGCTTTTGCTTCTGCTGCTTCTGCTTCTGCCGCTGCTGTTGTTGCTGCTGCTGTTGTTGCTGATGTTGTTGCTGCTGCTGTTGCTGCTGCTACAGCAAGATGAAGCATTGGCTTTGATTGGATGCGATGCGGGGTGTACAGGTACTTCGGAACGGAGTAATGCTCTTATTTCTGTTTAGGGTTTAGAGTTTCTTTTAACATTGAAAGGGTTTAGGGTTTAGGGTTTAGGGTTTATAGTTAAAGGTTGCCCTTGTTCTTCTCCATCCGAAGCAGCAAACACACTCAAAGGCCGCAGCAGCAGCTAACATTTTGAAAGGAGACAGGAGACAGAAGGAGACAGCAACTTGCATGCACTTTGCATGCATCTGTTCTGTCTTCTTGTGTCTCCTTGTGTGTCTTGCTGTCTCTGTTTTGTCTCCTTCTAACCCTTCTAACCCTTACCCACAGCATTAAGCTCCCCTATAAGGCGAAGGGGATAGCAGAGTGCTGCTGCTGCTGCTGCGGTTGCTGCTCCTGTTGCAGCTGCTGCTGTTGCTGCTGCTCCTCCGTTAGAGCAAGACAGACAAAGTGCTTCTGCTGTTTTGTTTGTCTCATGGAGGTGTAGAGACACCGTTTAGTTTGTTCGTTTTGTTATTGTCTATTAGATACAATAAATACTAACAAACAACTAACTAGGATGCTGCTGCTGCTGCTGCTGCTGCTGCTGCTGCTGCTGCAACAACACCAAGTGAGTGTACAGACACGCCTTCACAAGCAGCAGCAGCAGCAAAGCTACACCGCAGCTAAAGTTAGATTCATCTCCGTTTTGTAGCAGCAAGCTGCATTCAGCACGAGACTCTGTTGGGGTTTTACTTGTTGTAGCAGCAGCAGCAGCAGCAGCAGCAGCAGCGGCATACAGGCCGTTCAAAGGGGACAATGCGAGAGACAGATAATTATGCTGCCTGAGGAGACACCGTAAGTGCTTCTTTCTTACTGTCTCCTCTGCAGCAAGTAAAAGAGACAAAGTGGATGTTCAACTGTCTCCTTTATGCTGCTGCAGCAACTGCCTCCATTCTGCTGCTGCAGCAACTGTCTCTTTTCTGCTGCTGCAGCATCAACACTCCCTTAAAGATAAGGAACCTAAGCACGCACCTCAAAGTGCTGTTTGCTGTGCCTGCTGCTGCAGCAGCAGCAAACAGCAGTCCGCGGCCTCTGCAGCAGCAGCAGCATACGTTGCAGCAGCATACGCTGCAACGGCAGCAGCGTCTCAGCAGCCAGCAGCTGCCTTTTCAGCTGCTGCATCAGACTAGAATAAAACTTGAGGGAGCAGCAAACCCTCACGCTTCGGAGTTGCTGCTGCGTCTCTTGTTGCATGAGCCGCTCTAAACCCTAAACCTCCGGGGGTGTGTGGGGCGCTGTAACTCTTAAAACCCCGAAACCCTAAACCCTCAAACTCAACACTTAAACCCTATCACCTCCTTCATCTGAAGAGAAGTGCTCCTCATGCTACGCCTAATCTTTTGTCCTGTCTCTGTTTACTACTCTCCTTCTCTCCAGCGGTATCAGCGGTGTGTGTGTGTGTCTGGAGTGTACAGACACCTCAAGCAGATCGACGAGTTATGTATACTACCCTACTAAAGCCCCCCCAGCGCTACGGTAGTAGTTTAGCTGCTGCTCGTGCACCAGCAGCAGCTGCTGCAGCTGCTGCCTTTGCTGCAGCAGCTTCTGTTGCTGCTTTCGCTCGGGAAAGTTGAGGCTGATTTTGCGTCTGTGCATCCGTAACCTTTTGTTTGTGCAATGGCGTTGAATAAAATAATTGTAGAGAAACAGTATTCAAAAAATTCTCAGAGGCGTTCAGGTGTATGCGCACCTCATGACGGTGCTTGCTGCTTAGCAGGGGCAGTATGTGGCTGTTTTGGCTGGATGTTTGAATTTAAAATTAAGTAATTAGAAATAAAATATGTTTTTATTATTTTATATTTAATATCATTCAAATATATACACCAAAGAGGCTCTACTCTTCCTCTGCCGCTCAGCAACCCTCGCCTTGCAGCGGTGCATGCATACACCCGAAAACCCTAAACCCTAAACCCTAGACCCTAAACGCTAAACCCTAAACTGTAGCTCCCTCTTGCTTTTTTCTTCCGTGTCTCGTGTCGCCACCAACACAAAAGCACCTCCTCTGCTGCAGCAGCAACGCCAACTGCAGCAGCAGCAGCAGCAAACTACACCCAGACCGTCACAGCGCATGCTGCTGCTGCTGCTGCTGCTGCTGCTGCTGCAGCTGCTGCTGCTGCTACATGCTGCGCGTTCAAGTGCAGCTTCTCTCCATACATTTACAAAAAGAGAGACAGATTGACCACTGCTGAGTCCCGTACGTCACTGTATTCCCTGGAAACACACCTGCAGCAGCAGCAGCAGCAGCAGCAGCAGCAACTGCAGCAGCAGCAGCAGCAGCAGACTTCTGCTGCTCGATCCTCAGGACACTTTGTTGCTGCTGTGACTGCGCTTGGAGCACTTCCTTGATCACTGTTCTCTTTGACCGTCTTGTGGCTGCTGCTGTCGCTGCTGCTGCAGCGCCGCTGCTGCTGCTGCCCCCGGTGGTGGTGCTGCTGCTGCTGCAGCAGCACAGCCACAACAGCTCCGCCTGCAGCAGCAACAGCACCACAGCAGCAAACTCTTTACCAGTTCGCTCTGCCTGCTGCATAGCAGCTGTACTTGCAGCAGCAGCAGCAGTAGCAGGAACCGCCGTAGTAGTAGCACCACCAACTGCAGCAGCAACTGCAGCAGCAGCTGCAGCAGCAGCTGCAGCAGTAGCTGCAGCATTTTTTGAATTGCGCTTTGCCGTCCTGTTGCTGTCTGCTGCAGCAACTGGCAACAGCGCTGGAGTTCGCTGCCCTCCTCTGCATTAAGGGACCAGCAGCAGCAGCAGCTGCTGCTGCTGCTGCAGCTAGACGGATTGCTGCTTGAGTAGCAGCAGCTGCTACTGAGAAGCTGCAGCAGCAGCAAACGAGGCATGAGACTCAGGGGTTGAAGCGGAGCGGCTGCAGCTGAAGTCTGCTGCTGCGTGCCTTATAGAAAGAAGCTGCAAGGCAGCAGCTGCTGCAGCAGCAGACTGCTAGCAGCAGCAGCAGCAGCAGCAACAGCAGAAGCAGCAGCAGCAGTGGGAGCAGAGATGCTTCAGCAGATTGCGGTCCCCCCACCCGCGAGGGAACGCGTTGTTGCAGCAGCCCTTGAGTCTGCAGCAGCAGCAGCAGCTGCTGCTGCTGAAGCCAACGTGCTGCAGGAGCAGCAGCAAGCTGCAGCAGCTGCTGCTGCAGCAGAAGCCAACGCGCTGCAGGAGCAGCAGCAAGCAGCAGCAGCAGCTGCTGCTGAAGCCAACGTGCTGCAAGAGCAGCAGCAAGCTGCAGCAGCTGCTGCCGCTGCTGAAGCCAATGAGCTGCAGCAGCAGCAGCAGCAGCAAGTTGCAACAGCAGCGTTTGCTGCTGCTGCTGAGGCCGAAGCCGTACAAGCAGATCAGCAAGCTGCAGCAGCAGCAGCAGAATTAGCAGTCGATGCTGCAGCAGCGCGCTCCTCTCCCACCCAATCACAAGGACAGGAGCAGCAGCAGCAGCAGCAGCAACCGGAAGTCGTACCGGAGCAGCAGAATCTTTTAGCAGCAGCTGCTGCTATTACCGATGCAGCAGCAGCAGCAGCAGCAGCAACAGCAGCCCCGTCTCCTGCCCCTTCCAGTGTGGGGGGGAACAGCCTTGCTGAAGCAGCAGCAGCAGGAACGGTAGCAGCAGCAGCAGGAACGGCAGCAGCAGCAGCAACTCCACAGTCAATGGCTGAAGACACAGATGAGGCTGCAGCAGCAGATACGGCAGCGCCAGCAGCAGCATCAGCAGCAGCAGCAGCTGCTGCTGCTGATGCTGCAGCACCATCCTCGGCAGTGGAGAACGCTGCCACCGTAGTTTCTTCGGATGATGCAGCAGCAGCAGCAGCAGCAGCAGCAGGGGCCCCCCGTGCTGAGGATGCATGCACTTTGAGCAGAGGTTTTGCTGCGGGTGGGGCGGCTTTCCCTTCGCAGCTGCAGCAGCAGCTGCAGCAACAGCTGCAGCAACAACTGCAACAGCAGCTAGAGCAGCAGTTGCAGCTGCAGCAGCACCTGCAGCAGCAGCAGCAGCTGCAGCAACTGCAGCAGCAGCAGCTGCTGCTCCCAGATTGTTTAAACTACGGCACCGACAACCCGTTTGTCTCTTCAGCTCCCTTAGAGGGCATGGGGCTGCCAGGGCTATCAGCAGCAGCAGCAGCAGCAGCAGCAGCAGCAGCGACAGGAGCCTCCTCGGACCTTTTTGCTGGCTCCCCCTGCACGCAGCAGCAAGCAGCAGCAGCAGCAGCAGCAGATCGATTTGCCTCTCTTGCTGCTCTAGCCAACATCCCTCTCCCCCCTCAGCTGTCTGGTGCACACCCTGCGCTGCTGTCTGCTGCTGCGCTTCCGCTGCTGCCGCAGCAGCAGCAACAGCAGCAGGGATCGGCAACTCCGCAGGCTGCTGCAGATCCACAGCCAAATGGCGTTGCTGAAGCGAGCAGCTTGCAGCAGCAGCAGCAAGAACAACCCCACGATACTTCTGCCCCTGCAGATGACGCAGCTGCAGCAACAGCTGCAGCAGCAGCAGCAGCAGCAGCAGCACCCACCGAGATGAATGGTCAGGAGCAGCTGTTGCTGCAACAGCAGTTGCTGCAGCAGCACATCTTACAGCTCGCGGGACAACAGCAGCAGCAGCAGCAGCAAGTGGCTGCACTAAGAGCCAAGGCCGACGCAGCGGAGACGGAGGCAGACCCAGCAGCAGCAGCAGCAGCAGCAGCTGACGGAGCGCAGCAAGAGCAGCAGCAGCCGCAGCAGCAGCAGCAGCAGAATGACAGTGTGTGGCCGAAACAGGAGCAGCAGCGAGAAGAGCAGCAAAAGGATGCAGAAGGCAAGGGGAACGCTGCAGGAGGAGCAGCAGCAACAGCAGCAGAGAAGGAGCAGCAGGAGCAGCAGCAGCAGCAAGATGGAGACAGCAGGAAGCCTCAGGCAGATGATTTTTCTTCGCTTTTAAAATGCTGTGAGGCGCTGCCCCGCTGCTGACCCAGGGTTCATATAGCTTAGGGTTTAGGGTTTAGGGTTTAGGGTTTAGGGTTTAGGGTTTAGGGTTTGCGTTTGCAGGGCCGTCAAGCGGCAGCTACCCCATGATGCTGCAGCTGCCTTCTGCTGATCCTGCTGCTTCTTTGGGGGCTCTAGAGGCGCTGCAGATGAAGCCAGCACAGGGAGACAACTCGCAGCAGCAGCAGCAGCAGCAGGGGTCTCTGGCGGCAGCAGCAGCTGCAGCAGCAGCAGCTGCTGCTGCTGCAACTGTTGCTTTCGATCCGTTTGCTGCTGTCAGCAGCGAAGAACATCTGGCCGTGCTGCAGCACATCAGACTTCTGTCTATAAAGACAGCAGCAGCAGCAGCGAAGAAAGAGCGGCTTAAAGAGGCCCCCGCGGCACCAGCAGCAGCAGCAGAAGCAGCAGCAGCAACAGCAGCAGCAACCGAAAATGGAGATGGAGATGCTGCTGCTAGTGCTGGTGTTGCTGCGCCTGGGGACGCCGACACATCTTCAGCAGCAGCGGCTGCAGCAACAGCAGCAACAGCAGCACCAGCAGCAGGCGCTGCAGCAGGCGGCGAAACAGCAGCGACGGAGGCAGCGGCTGCTGGTGATCCACCCGCAGCAGCAGCAGCAGCAGCAGCAACAGCAGCAGAGAAGGAATCAGTAGAAGAGGTAGAGGAGACAGTGCTGGCGCTGAGAGAGGAGCAGCAACAGCAAGTGCAGCGGCTGCTTGAAGGTCTTACTGAAGAAGAGTTGTCTTGTGCTGCTGCTGCAGCACATGCTTCTTCTACGCTGCTGCAGCAGCAAGAACAGCAGCAAGAAGAAGATGCCCTCGACGAGAGACTGCGGGTTGTCAGCAGTTTTCTTAAGTCGCTCGAGGGGACAGCAGCAGCAGCAGCAGCAGCTGCAGCAGCAAACCAGCGTAGGTCTCCACTGCTGCTTTTCACTCCCCAGTTCTGCTGCTGCTGCTGCTGCTGCTGCTTTCATTTTGGCTGTGGGCTGTTGCTGCTGTCGCCGGTGCCGATGGGTGTCTCCTGCTGCTGCTGCTGGTTGCTGCTGTTTTGTTCTCGCTGCTGCTGCTGCATTTGCTGCTGGTGATTGTTTCATTGCAACTGCTGCTGCTGCTGGATTTTTTTTGTTTTTTTGTTTTGCTGCTGTTTGCTGCTTGCGCTGCTCCGGTTTAACTGCTGCTGCTGCTGCTGCTGCTGCTGCTTTGCTGCTGCAGCATCTTGGATGATGCCAGACCTGTTCTCTCGCAATACTGCTTCGGATGCCCTGCTGCACTCCGCTCTATTTCAGTGGGTTGCTGCAGCAGGAGGTGCTGCAGGTGCTGCAGGTGCAGCAGACGGGGGAGCAGCAGCAGCAGCTGCAGCAGCTGCAGCAGCTGCAGCGGGCGATCCTTCAGGTGTAATGCAACCCGGAGGGTTGTTCTTAGGGATGCTACCAGAGATACAAGCGGAACAGCTGCTGCAGGAGCAGCTGCTGCAGCAGCAACTGCTGCAGCAGCAGCTATCTGCAGCGCAGCAAGATGCTTCCTCTATAACAAAGGGGTTGGTGCAGCAGGGAGGGGGTGCTGCTCTTTGTGATTTTGCTGCTACTGCTTTACAGGCTACTCAAAGCAGCACCAAACGATCCAGGTCTGCTGCTGTTGCTGTTGCTGCTGCTGCTGCTGTTGCTGCTGCTGGGGTTGTTCCTGCTGCTGTTGTTGCTGCTGCTGGAGTTGTTTCTGCCTTTGCTGCTTCGATTTCTTGTGCTGGTGCTGTTGTTGCTGCTGCTGCTCTGTATTGGGTGCAGCAACTGATGTTGCTACCTGTGTGATGGTGGCTAGTGTTGCTTCTGCGCTTGCTGCAGCTGCAGCAGCAGCAGCAGTAGTTGGTGCTGTTGCGGCATGTATATGATGTTTATTTTTGTGTTTTGTTTGTTTGTTGCAGTAGAGGAAGGAGCAGAAAGTTGCTGCCGCTTGATGCAGCAATATCAGAGGCATCAGGCGCTCCACCGTCTTGCTCAGGAGACACAGCAGCAGCAGCAGCAGCAGCAGCAGCAGCAGGTGTTGTTGTACCTGTTGGTTCATCTTCAGGTTCATCTGCAGCAGCAGGCGGTGCATCATCATCATCATCAGCTTCCTCTGGGTCAACAGCAGCAGCAGCAGGAGGAGGAGGAGCAGGAGGAGGAGGAGGAGGAGCAGCAGCAGCAGCAACAGCAGCAGCAGCAGCAGCAGGTCTAGGGGGCCCCCTCAAGAGACTACGTCGCAGCGGCAGCAACAATCCTGAGAGCGGCTTCCCTGGTGTCTCGTGGAACAGCCGCATGCAAGCGTGGCTAGCATTCTTTGTTGATGCGGAGGGGACGAGGAGAAGTCACACTTTCAAGTGCAACAAATTCGGAGGAGTAGAAGTAAAATCTACACCACCAGCAGCAGCAGCAGCAGCAGCAATAGCAGCAGCAGCAAAAGCAGCAAAAGCAGCGGTGGCTGTGGTGCTGGTTGTGGCAGTAGCAGAGTAGCAGAAGCAGTTGTGCTAGCAGCATTTGCAGCAGCAGCAGCAGCAACACTGCAGCAGTATTCAGAGTAGTAGTAGTCGCAGTAGCAGTAGCAGTAGCAGCAGCAGCAACAGCAGCAGCAGCAACAGCAGCAGAAGTAGCTGTATTACTGTTTAGCCGCCATTTGCATATTTGTTGTTTGCTGTTTGCTGCTTTGTTTGTCTATTTATTTATTTATTTATTTATTTATTTATTTATTTATTTATTTATTTATTTATTTATTTATTTGTTGACTGTCTCTTGTTTGTTTCTTCTTCCTAGCCATCCTTTTTATTTATTATTTATTATTTTATTATTTATTTTATTATTATTAATTTATTTTGTGTAATATTTATTATTTTATTATTTATTAATTTTGTTTATTGCTTATCTTCGCCTCCCCGACGTTTTTGTGTTTTGTTTGTTGCTGCAGCGCGCCCGTGTAGAAGCAATAGAGTGGTTGATCCGCAAGCGAGGAGAAATACAAGCAGCAACAGAGAGAGCAAGATTAGCAGCGCAGCAGCAGCGAGAAGCAGCAGCAGCAGCTGCTGCTGCTGCTGCTGCTGCTGCAACTGGCAGCAGTTTGTTTGTGGGGTTGGTTGGGCCTCTTTCTTCTTCAGGCTCCACTTTGTTTATTTCTGTTTGCTTTTAACACTTTTAATTAAAGGCGAGGGATGCAGACATTTGCTGCTGCTGCTGTTGCTGCTGCTCCTGCTGCTGTTGTTGCTGCTGCTGCTACTACTGGTACTACTGCTGCCGCTGCTACTGGTGCTGCTGCTGCTGCTACTGGTGCTGCTGCTGCTGCTACTACTGGCGCTGCTGCTGCTGCTGCTGTAATGACTACTAAAGCAGCTGCTGCTGCTACTGGTGATGACGCTGCTGCTGCTAGCGCTGTTGCTGGTGCGCTGGTGTACATTCACCTGAAGGAGCATCTAAAGCAACGCGGAGACAAATATAAACAACCTGTCTCCTTAATAAGCAAACAACAAAGAAACTGTCTCCTCTATAAAAAACAGCAGAAACTGTCTCCTTCATAAACGACACAAACTGGTTGCAGCCGGCAGTAGCTGTCTCCTCAGTGTCTCTTCCTATATATATATATATATATATATATATATATATTATTTGTATTGTATATATAGAGGTATCGCTAGCAAATAATAATAAGTAAACAACTCTCCTTTGTCTCTTCTGTCTCCTTCTGTCTGTGTGTCTCTGCTCTATCTTATCTCTTTCTGTCTCCTTTATCTTTTTATATTTCTGTCTCCTTTTTGTCTCTTCCCTGAGGGTCTCCCTCAGCGCTTGAGAGCGGCATCAGTTACTTTGGGTTTCCAGGTGTCTCCTCTGCTGCTGCTGCTGCTGCTGCGAGCAGCAGCAGCAGCAGCAGCAGAGGAGACACCTGGTAGCCACAAGAAAGAAGGAGTTGTTTGTCTGTCTCCTTTTCGTTGGTTTGTTTTATTTGCATCTCCAGCAATAAAAAAAGAGGTAAAGAAGAGAGACAGAAGGAGACAAACAAAGACACAAAAGATGCGTAAGCTGTTCCCACTATAAATACGAGGTGTATATACACCTCAGATTAAAACTATAATTTTGTGTTTCTGCTGCTGCTGCTGCTGCTGCTGTCTGTCTGTCTGTCTGTTTGTCTGTCTCCTAAAGCATTAATTGTCCCTATTGCTGCATCTTGCTTGATGTCTCTTTTACTGTCTCCTTTTGTTTATTTTTCTTTTATTTACACTCTGAACGCCTTTGCTGTTTGTTTTATTTGTTTCTCCTCTGCTTTTTCTGCTTCCTGTTGTCTCTTCTGTCTCCTTTTGTCTCCTTTTGTCGTTTATATTATATCATTTTGTCTTTTATACTGTCTCCTTGTGTCTTTTATGCTGTCTCCTTTTGTCTTTTATACTGTCTCCTTTTGTCTCTTAGACTGTCTCCTTTTGTCTTTTATACTGTCTCCTTTTACCCCCTTGTTTTCTTTTTGTCTCCTTTTCTACTTGATATCTGTTTTTCTTTGTTTTGTTTGTTCGTTTTTCCTTCTCTTTTGTTTACTTTATTTATTTTATTTATTTTATTTATTTTATTTATTTTATTTGTTTTATTCATTAATATTTAATTAAGACGGCAACTCTCCACCGAAGAAAAACTTTACTCGCTGCATAACCGAATCCTGAGACAAACAAACAAACAAACAAAACACAAAAACTTCTTTCTTTGATCTTTATTTCTACAGAGTTTGTACAATATATATATATATATATAATACACTATATATATTATATGTATTATATATAATACTATATGCATTATATATTATTATATTATATAATATATAATATATAATATAATATATATTATATATATTAGATATTATATATACATGTAAACATGTGTTTATCGATTAACAGGCATGCAATAAGCCATATAAACCTATAAACCTAAACTTATATATATATATATATATTAGATATATATTTAAATATATTCTTTATAAACATCTATATATATATATATACAAGTATAAATAAATATATAAATATATAAGTAGAAATATGAATAGAAAAATAAGACAAAGAGGAGATAAATAACCAATGCCCCGAATCCTCGCATAAAGGCCCTTCATATATACTGCTTAGGGCTTAGGGTTTAGGGTTTAGGGTTTAGGGTTTAGGGTTTAGGGTTTAGGGTTTAGGGTTTACTTTGCTGGGGTCATAGGGTCTGTCTTTGCTCGGAATTTCCAAAATTGTCGGTAAAATTCGCGAGTGGAGATCCACCAAATAACGAATTGAATCGGCGACCTAAAGGAGACAAATAGAGATTAAAGGAGACAAATAGAGATAGGAGGAGACAAATAGAGATTAAAGGAGACAAATAGAGATTAGAGGAGACAAATAGAGATAGGAGGAGACAAATAGAGATTAAAGGAGACAAATAGAGATTAG